GTACTTCTTAGCACAGGGGCATCACTGCGGATCCACTTCGAGGCCAAAACAACGGCAACAAATCGTACTTCTTAGCACTGGGGCATCACTTCGAAGCCAAAACAACGGCAACAAATCGTACTTCTTAGCACAGGGGCATCACTGCGGATCCACTTCGAGGCCAAAACAACGGCAACAAATCGTACTTCACGGCACTGGGGCATCACTTCGAGGCCAAAACAACGGCAACAAATCGTACTTTTTAGCACTGGGGCATCACTTCGACGTCAAAATTCTTAGCACTGGGGCATCACGGTTCAACTGGCTTACCAAACGGGGTTCACCGCGCCAAAGTTTTTATGAAACTCCTTGGTGAGCAGTGCTGCGGCCATCTTCTGCAAGGTCGGCTCGGCATTGTGCGTCGCGTAGGGCACCTGCAAGTTTAGAGGTTGCCAGTCCCACAATCCCGGCACCTACTTTCGCAGCCCTTGAAACATGTAGAAGTTTTGGCGCAACACCTCCACACGGCAAGTTGGCAAACTGATCTTTATGCTGGCCAAGTCCTGGGAGAAGGTGGGCGACAAGTTAAGATCCGCACGTTGGAGAGGTCCAGGGCTGGGGCAAAAACAGCTCTAGGTTTGGGGTTTAGGGTTTAGGGTTTAGCGAAGCTCTGTCACTGAGCCGGGCGTCCAGGAGAATCTGTTTGCTCAACATCTCGAGGCCCTCGTCGCCCGCGGCAGCTGTCATCAACTTTTGGTACAAGAGCAGCAACTGCTTGACCACGGGATGCTGGACAAGGGACACACATCCTTTCGAGTTGCAGAGAAGAGTCGCGTGCTGAAGGAAGCACTTTGGATCTGCGCTCGTCCACAGACTCGCCTTTTGCAGGAACGGCAGCAAGCTTAGGCGCGGGTCCTTCGGAAGCCATTGTGCCAACAGCTCGAAACGCTCCTCCTCAGGGTTCAGGGTTTAGGGTGGGGGAATTAAAGTAAACCCTAAACCTTCAAGCCTGAACCTTACACCCTAACCCTAAACCCGAAACCCTAAACCCTTGGAAGATGTCCTTGGCAAGGAGGAATTCTAGCTTGACTTCCTCAGAGCTTGCACCGAAGATCGTCTTGGCAAAGTCCAGGTCTCGCAACTGCAGCTCTGTTAGATGCCCGTCGGCTGCGATGTCTGTCACTACGACCAGCCGGTCCGAAAAAGCAGCTGAGACGTCCGTCATGGCATTCTTCAGGCGCTCGCCTGGGGGACGCATGACAAAACTTGGGCAACACCAGATGAAACCTCAGCTCGCACTTCTAAATTACTCTCACCCTCATCGTCGAGCCCTGCCTGCGCGATGTTTCAGGAAGCCCTGGTAGAAACAGCTTCTGAAGAAAACCGCTTGTTGCTGCAGAGAAAGCGACAAGGAAATGGGCGATTTGTCCAGCATGTTCCGCCGAGCAATAGCACAAATTGCTCTACCGGTGTCAGGAACCAGCCCCGGGATCTTCAGCAATTCCTCGAAAACTGACACGAAAGCGTGGATGTCACTGAACGGCATCTCTTTCGGTGGGTTCAAGACCGTTTTGACCAAGTATTTGATCAACAAGCGGCTGTGCTCCTCCAGGCCTTGCGTGAACCTGGGTGGGGAGGGATTTGGGTTTATAGGGTTGAGGGTCCAAGTGCGTAGCCTTTGCTACGAGGCTCTTGCTAAGGTTAAGGGCTTCAGGGTCCAAGTAGGTTCCAAGGGCGACTGTTCTCTGCTACGAGGCTCTTGCTAAGGTTAAGGGCTTCAGGGTCCAAGTAGGTTCCAAGAGCGACTGTTCTCTGCTACGAGGCTCTTCGGGGAGGGATTTGGGTTAAGGGTTTAGGGTTTAGGATTTAGGGTCTATAGGGTCGAAGGGTGACTGTTCTCTGCTACGAGGCTCTTGCTAGGGTTCAGGGTTTAAGGTGCAGGGGTGACTGTTATCTGCTACGGCGTTCTTCGGGGAGGGATTTGGGTTTAAGGTTTCAGGTCCAAGGGCGGCCGTTCTTCTGCAGACCTGCAGCTGGAACGCCATGGAAAGACTGAAATGAAAGATGCTTTCACAGCTTTCCCCAAATCCTAAACCCAAAAACCCAAAATAGCAGAGCCGTGTCACTGCGCTGGATCCTCCTGGAACATCGAGAAACGACTCATGATGTGCTCCTTGTACCGCTCCATCCAGAAAACCACTGTGTTGGAATTCAATGGGTCCGAGGAGAAGTATCTGGCATTCACGAAAGCTTCTTTGCAGTTTTCCGCAATCTCTTCAGCCGCCTGTTGTTCCGGCAGATCGTCGCTTGTACGAGGCTGCAGGACGCGTGTTCGCGGCGGTTTTCCTTCTTCTGCTTGCGGCATGGCACGGGAAGAGGAAGGAGCTGGGTTCTGTTCTGCAGAGGTCGGAGCAGCGTCAATGTTGCCACACCCCTGCAAGGCTGGTCGCGACTCCGGCCGCGCCGCGTCTTTTGTGCGCTGGATGGCAAGACTCACTTCGATAGTCCGCACCCCGAGTCCTAGACTGTTGCGCGGAGCCGCGTCGTCCAGGATGTAGTGCTGGCACAAGTCGAGCCATGCAGGAATGTCTGTCAAAGTAGCGGGGTCGATAACATACGAAGACAACTCGCCTAAGGATGGCAAATTTGCTTTTGGAACCACCCAGAAAGTGCACTTCATAGAAGTAGACTGGAAAAGGCGCTGCTTCCATCCCAACATCTGAGCTGCATTGACACGGCAGCCCTCACCTCCTGCGCGCCTGAGCGCGACATGAAGCTGGATCATGTCTTGAGAGTTTTCCACTCCTCTCAGGCGGGTAAGAGAGCGCTGCGCACTATCTGCTTCCGCCTGGGTCATGCTGGCTCCGGGGGTTCCTTCTTGGAGACGCTGCAGCTCAGCCTGTACCGCCTCTGCTGTCGGAGGCATTGCTGTCAGAGGCGACTCCCGCGTTGAAAGGCTCACAGGGACAGAGACTACCTAAGCCAAGCAAGAGCGCGCTGCTGACTTGAAAGCAGGATGACTGGACCTTTCATTTCAACGCAAGGACTGCAAGGTAGCAGGTTTGTCTACCACCATCTGCCACTGGCTGCCACGATTGACCAGTATTCACCACTATTTACCACTATTGACATTGACCACTATTGACCACTATTTACCACTATTTACCACTATTTACCACTATTGACCACTATTTACCACTATTTACCACTATTTACCACTACTTACCACTATTTACCACTACTTACCACTATTTACCATTATTTACCACTGACTGGAAGGATGCTTTCACCGTGACTACAACGCTCAGGACGCATGAGGGGGGCTGCTTCTTGAGAGCATGACTGGAGTTTACCGTGCACAGTCACATGCTTTTTGACTGCAACGCTGACGGCCGGATAGAGAGATGCTCCAGAAATGAAAGCCCTCAGGCGAGCACATCCGGGCACCATGCCCGTATCTTGTCATCAGCAGCAGTGGAACCTGTCGTCCCCGAGGGATAGCCAAAGGCTTGAATAGCGGCGCGCAAACTAGCCTTCTCCTGGTCGTGCCATCTCTGTCGAGAAGCACGGTGCTGCAACCACCTCCCTCGAGAAGAGCGCCAAAGCATCCAGGATCGCAGCACGCAGTATGTTCTTTTGGGGTCTCTTTCGTCATCATCGTACTTCAAGATTAGGGCTGTTTTGCTGGACTCTCCAACGCCCATGCCCTCAGGCTGGGCCCTCTCCCAGCGCCACCGCATCCGGACCCGAACGTCATGACCCATGCCGCCCTCCCAGGGAAGCTGCCGTTTTGATAGATTCTGCAAGGTTGAAACTTGTTGGGGAGAAAGTGAAAATAGTTTTCCATTCTACATCCTTTGGGGCTGAGGGCTGAGGGTTTAGGGCATTTGGGGAATTGGGGGTCAGGGTCCTGGACCCGCCTTGTAGTGATCCTCAAGAGTAAAAAACGGGTTGCTGTGTTCCACGACCACATGTGTGCCTTTGGGCAGGCGTAGCTGAACATCTTCTGCGTCCTCCAAGGGGTTGCCAACATCTGCCTGCGGCCGCTCATCGCAAGAGTCTGGTTCTTCTTGAGCTTCGGCAGCTTCTGAGTCGAGCGCAGTGTCCAAGCTCTGGACATCAGAGTCATCAGAAGCCTCGGCATTGGCGCCGTCAGACAAGGAAGCTTCCGTGCAAGAATCGTCCATCCGGGCCTTCGCCGAACGTCGTGGCCGGCGTGCCTTCAGAACCACCTCTGTTGCGCCCACGACACGGACAGTCACACATGGCGGTCCCAAGGATTGCACTTGGATATCTAAAGAATACACGGCCGCGTCCTGCGCTTGAAAGGGAAATCCATTTGACAGCAACAGCGCGCGGACTGGCTGCCACGAATCGTGCAGGATCGCAGAGGCAGGCAACTGCAGCACTTGGCGGGCAGTTTCCGTGAGGCAGAGAGCATGGCCATTGCCACGAAGGCCAACGTAGAAAACGGCAACACGTCGGCCAGGACTCGTCAGCAAAAACCAGCCTTGCCTCTCTTGGAAAAGTTTCCTTTCGCAATTCCAGCGTTGGTCAAACGGAACTACAGGCAGTAAAGGAGCAGCTAGCGGCATCTCATCGGCAAGCGGGACTAACCTGTTGAGATCAGGGCTTCTGCAAACCTGCGAGCACAAGGAAACCATTGCGATCCCAGCGCCCTTTGTTTATATTTTGCATTTTAGCCCCACATCGTAGAGAGCCTGACAGCTGAGTTTTTTGTCCGAAAGAGTCTGAGAGTACAGCTATGGCCCTCACCCCAAGCTTATGTTTGGAGGCTGTTGTTCTGAACCCTCCGCCTGGCTGAGAGGGCGCGGCGTTGCGCAGTAGCAGCTCGAAGCAGTTCGCGGAATCTTGCACGTCTGGTCTCCAAAAAGCGCAGCCAGTCAGCATTCGTCCTTGGCAGTATCGGTAGGTCGCTTACAGCAAGAGCCGCTGAAGCTTCACGCCTTATCGCTGCAGCTTCAGCTTGCAAGGTCACCTTGTTTGCCTCGACATATTGCTTGAGGTCTGCAGGACGGCCGGGATGATCAAACTGGCTGCCCATGAAGCCACCTGGCCTAGGCAGCCAACTGGGGTTGTGTTGAGCAGCGAGCGCAGTAGCAGACATTTTGAGCTTCTTTGACATCGCAGAACGAAGCTGGACGTTTGCAGCAATGGCTGCGTGACGGCCTGTGCAGTAGCGCTGAAGCAAGCAATTTCGGCTGGCTGCCGCAGCTGATAGCACCCGGTTTCTCTCTTGCTTCTTGTCCTGGGCGTGTTTCCTTTCAACGTCCAGACTGGAAGCGGAAAGGATCTCCAGCGTCTGTTCCAGTTCAAACTGGATTGCGTCGGCCAAGAGGAAAGAGATACCCTGAGCGAGAGATCCCTGCTTCAAAGCTTCGGCCTGCAGCGGCCGGCAGAAGCCGGCATCAAGCTCGGCAGGCGCAAGGTCCAAAAACGCCTCTATGGCAGAGACAAAAGAATCTGCGTTCCAGCGCTGGCAGAGGGTCCACATGCGAAACGGCCACTTGGCATAGTCGTCAAATCGGACCACAAGGTGGCCATGCGTGGTCAACAGTCCTGTAAGGACATCCGTTACATCCAGATGGACATCGGTGTGCAACAAAGCCAAAACAGTCGTCACCTGAGTTGAAGCGGCACGTTGCACATCACCGCGACTCAGCCGTACAATTGTCGGCTCCCTGCCTTGCCTGTTCTCGTGCTTCGCTGCTGTTATTGCCAAAGCCACATCGGTCAACCGGAGGCATAAGGCGACCTTCTTCAGACGTTGTTCGGCACCCCGGTTCTCGTAGAAGCCCACGAAGCGATCCCACCGAAGCGCGGTGTCATTGCCCAGCTGACGAGAAGGTCGGAGAGCGGTGCTGGGTATCCCCAGGAGCTTCAGTAGCAATAACGCGCGCACCTTCAGTCACAACAAAGGATTAGTTTAGCTTTGACAGATTCAAAGGGTTTGGTTTTTGCAGATGTATAGGACACCCCTCACCCCTTCCCCAAACAAAGAAGCCCCCAGCCTGGGACACGCTACCGACCCGCCTGCCTAACATTGACGCTGGGACCTATACCCCCCCCCCCCGTCTCCCTAATTGTCAAAAACGCTTCAAGCCGATCATCCTACATAAGTACTACAACCAGAAACGACTCACATGAGGAAGTTCAGGGCCGTGATTGCAGAGCAGGTCACACAGGGAGAGAAGAGAAAAAAGCGCGTCGGCACGGGCCGCTCCTGCGCCAGTAAGCAGCTGTTGGATAAACCTCAGAATCGCCCATTGACACATACAGTCTCAACAAATCCGTCTACGACGTTTAAGAAGTTTTGAGCCGTGAGAAAACAAACTTGAGAGAACATTCTTATAGTTGGAAGATACAAATGTACAGTTCTCGTACTTGCTGTTCCAGGTCAAGGCCGGTTTCGCCTCTCAAAAGTGCCAGCAACCGATCGGACCAGAGCGTAGGCCCATACAAATCCTCCATACCCTGCGGAATGCCGCGCCGGAGGATGTCCGAGCCGTTCCTTTGCAACCAGACGTGAAGGGAGCTGTGCACCTCCTCCATGTTGCTGGGCAGAATGTGCTTGAACCCACCTGCTACACGCCGCTGTTAAATCGCAGCGATTGATTGGGTCCCGGATCAGCGAGCCAGTAACGCCGACTTGCACCACTAGGTTCGCTGCGTGGGATGCGCATTTGACCAAAACCAGCCTGTACTGTAAAGGGCCAGCTGCAAGGCTTCGATTGAAGTGAGCCAGAACATACCTCGCAGCTTTGGCATTCGTGCTGATCCCATCACCAATCAGGCAATGGACCAGCCTGCGAGATTGAGCACGGCGCCCATCTGGCAATCCCAAAGCACTAACGGCACCCTCCAGGACCGAGATGATTGCCGAGGCTATGGTCTGCGAGTCCTTGCGGTCCAGGCATTGCAGCTCCGTGAAGTATTCCAGCCGATGCTGCCCACAGAAAAACTCCATCACATTGTTCTGCACCTTTGAATACTTTCCACGGATGATGCGGCCCGCCACGGCTGCGTCTGGCTTGTAGCTCCGCAGCTTCATCAGGGCCTCATCGTGAATGTGGCGAACAAACAGCGTCCCGTCCTGCGTTGCCGCAAGATGCGCAAGCTCTTCGCAATTCAGCTGCTTCACCAGCTCACACATGGCATCCTTCGCAGTGGCAATATACGTTCTGGAGATGGCCTTTTGCTCTTGCACATAGAATGTCTCGCACCAGAGCGCTAAGGATTGCAAGGCGACCTTGGGATCAGCAAAGGCGCAACGAAGAAACCACATGTCTGTCACACGACCCGCCAGCTTGTCCGAGCGTGCCACAGCCAACTCCCCGTTTAGCTTCTCGATCTTTTGCTTCAGTTTCTGCGATTGCTTCTGCAGCTGCCGACGGGTCTGTAGCGTGCCATGGCGAGCTTTCCTGCCAGTCTCAAACTCAGTTGTCAAAGCTTCAATGAGAGATGCTGCAGCGGCAGCTGTGCCAGGGAACGCTCCAGATGGTAAGCTGGACACAAAGTCCCGCACCTGACGCAGAAGTACGGCAGCCTTTGCATCCATTGTCCATGGCAGCACGGTATCTGAAACCCTGACATTTGGGCCTGGGGCCACTGCAGACACATCCAGCTGGCAAGCTCTGCCAACGCCACTGTTTGCCACTATTGGGAAGCAAAAACAATTTACAAGACCCTGCCAAGCCCCGGTGATTATCAACTTAACTTTCCCATGGCGACCACAAGAGT